ACGTTTACATTTGTATATAAACATCATTTTTGTTTATTTTTCTCATTAATGTTACCGTTTTAGTTTCATTTGCTTCTTTATAGTTAGTTTTTAATTTTATACAAATATAGGCAAAAAATAACAATAATGTCCATTTTTGCCCTTCTTAATAAAAATTAAAATAAAGATTAATAAAAGATGTATTAATAATTTTAGGACACCTGATGCAAATGACGCCGAACAACCTGTGGAGAAGGAAGTAGAAAAGCCAGCCACCCCTCCAGAAACTGCACCCGCAGCAGAAGAACCACTCAACCCCACACCTCCTCTTTCTCCACCACCCAGCGAAACTCCTCCACTTCCGGTTGTGGCACCACTTCCGGTTGTGGCAGCCCCAGTCTCTCCAGCTCCGGCAGCTTTTGTTGCACCACCACCCGCCACAGTACCAACTCTTGCAGCTCCTGTGGCTGCTGCAATTCCTGCATTTCCTCCAATAAGACCAGCTGTTCCACCCAACTTTCCATTCAACATATACGCCCCAAATAATCCTTATTTGCAACCTTACCCAGGCAGGCCTGCTTTCCCACCTCTAAATAATTTCTTGCCGTACGGTGCAAGACCCTTCGGTCTGAATGGACGGCCCCAGTTCCCGCCAGTTGGTTATCCAAACATACCCACAGGTGCGATGAATAGAAGGTTCAACAATCCAAGAGGTGCCGAGAATCCGAGAGGTGCCAGGAATCCCAGACAACGAGGCCGCAGATATGCACCCAACAACTTCTTCCGCAGACCCAATGGTAATAATAATTATAGACGGTTTTAAATGCAGCCATACTTTATCCAACTCCATCATAGTGTAAAAACTGGTTTGAAAATAAATCGGAAATATTTAATTTCATTTTTAAATTGTTGTTATAATCAACTTTTCTTGGGGTTTTTTTTAAATTAGACTTTTAACACTTTTGATTAAGATGATTTTGAATGAATGAATGAAATATTAAATATTTTTTATTTACGTTTTTATTTAACAAAGCACGTTTAAAAATCTCAAAACTTGATAATTTATTTTGATAAAAACTCAGCGTTTGTTTAGTAAAACTATTATTAATTTTTTAAACCCAAAACATATTTAATTTATATTTCATTAGACATTACGTATGAACTTGCGACAAAATTAATATTTAGTCTAATGAAACATTCACTTTTAGATGTAACTTAGACTATTAATTACTTTTCGACTTACATTTTAATGCTATCCTTACTGTTTTTACCTATCAATTAATATTTTGTCTTCTAGAATCGAATAAAGATTGTGTTTTTAGCTAATAATTGTTTCTGTTAATTTGTCACCACGGTGGTAAGTGCTATTTCGGTGGTGACACCACCGAAATAGCACTTACATATATTTTGCGATCCTCATTTGTAGGTACAGTCGTGTAAAATCTATTTGCCGTAGGGCTATATAAAATAAGGACGCATAACATAACGTAACAACATGGCATAACATGTCAATTCACGTGTATTTACACATACTGTGGGTTTGTTGTTGTAGCTCTGAAAAAGTGAATGTCTAACAAAGAAATTCTATGCTGTAATCATCTCAACTTGAACGTGTAAAAATTACGTGATAAACATTTGAATCTAATTTAATGTTTTGTCGCATAAATTACAACAGTATTTTAACAAAATGTTATGACACTACCTTTATGGTATTATTTTATCTCATTCATATTTTCATAAAATTAATTCCCAATCATTTAAAAAAGTTTTTCACTGAATCTAATGTATGCAACACACAAACACGTGTCCTTGTGTTAACATGCATTTAAAATGTTAAATTGCTTTTGAGATTTTCTAAAATGAAGCTTTATTTTAGTTGCATGAGAAGCTTTGCTGCTGTTTGAAAAGACATAGCTGTCATCATTTGAAATATCTAAAATGATCTACTATTATTACTACCAGCTGTAGTAGTAGTAAACAACTACAACTAACACTATTACTACTAATGTTCTTAAGCTAACTACTACTACTAATACTACAACAGCAACAACTACTACTAATATTACTACTGCTGCTACTACTAAGAACTACTACAGCTACGACAACAACAACTAGTACCACTATATTAATACTACTACTACTACTAGTACTACTACTACTACCACCAATAATAATAGCAGTAAAAACATTAGTATTAAAAATAACAATACCTGACAATAACTGATGCAATCTTTTTTTGTTGTTTCTCTTATACTTTATTCTAAATTTATTTTAATCATCATTCGTATTTGAAGAATTTAACAAACATTTATGGATAGTATAAATCAAAACAACAAAGCAAGTAGTGGTAAACACTAAACACACACATATACATACCACACACACACACACACACACACACACACACACACAAACACACACGCACACCACACACACACTCAAGCAAACGCACATACACACACACACACACACACACACCATGGTGTTTCCGCGGTTATGTTAGGTTGGTGCAAATATATAATTTAGCATCACCAGTAAGAACAATTTAAAATCTTTCCGATTCATGCAAAAATCATACAAACTTGCTGCTACCACTACCCAATAGTAAATTAATAGTAATACACACACATGCAAACACACACACACTCACGCAAATACAAACACACACACACGCACATACCGCACATACACACATTCATTGCAAGCACGCATACACACCGAAGGATTTCCGTTGGTATAATAATATAAACAATACACAAGATAGGTCCCAACGAACGACCCTGAATTACCTTACAATCTTATTGAAATCGTTCTAGACCAACTGCAATTTTTTGAAGGAAAATTGATTATTGATATTTGCGGTGAACTTTTTAATCAAGTTTTTCTCAAACTTCTTTGAATCAAAACAATTTAATTTTGCCCTAAACAGCAAAAGTAAACAATAGTATTGTTAGTAATTATTATTTCAAAAAAATTGTTATAATGACTTATTGGAATTATGATAAAGCGAAATGTATATTGAATGCAGAAAATAATCTGAAAATTTCTCAAAAAAATTAGGAGCACATAGGCAAGACATCTACGACATGATGCACACATAATGTTATATGTTATTTGTATACTGATTCGATGTTATATGTTATTTGTATACTGATTCGGTGTATGTATTGTCTACTTGTGTATGTATATGTATATACATATATATATATATATATATATATAATATATATATATATGTTTGTGCAATTTTATTGCATGTATGCTTGCATTGTTGTATTGTAAACTGTGCACGTAATAAATTTAAATTTGAGGTTTTGCTTATGTTGCTATTGTTAGTATATCTTTAGATTGTAATCTTCAAATGACAAATGTTTCTGAAGTCATTGTTGTTCATAATTTTAAACCAAGCCATTCACATGCTTTGCCGTGCTTACATGTTTTGCATGTATAACTTTTATTATGTGTGTGTTACATTTGAATGATATTTTTTCTAAATTAAAAGAATGTTGACTAATTTTAATATGAGACTAAATTTTTATTATGAAAATGAGCATGTTTTGTGAAAATTTAATTTATATTTAATAAAAAGAATAAAAAATTTCATTTGTAGTGATGGAAAAACCATATTCTTAAAAGAGTTTTTTTTAAATATTAATAACCTAGTGTGTGGTACGTATTTGTGCACAAATTTTTATTTAACAAACGCCGTGTTATACCAAGTAGTCATAATGTTATATTTTGCGGTTTTTGTAGCTACCAAGTATAAATGTCATTGGTTGAAAACGCTATGCTTTTGTATGTACGCCATGATTTCAGCGCTCAAAACAGACTTGAACATCAATACAAATATTTTATTTCATTTTATTCGCAATAATGGTAATACCGTGCAAAAAAGCCGTCTTAAAAATAGCCCAACAACAACAACAACAATGTCGTTACAACAATTACATTAATGTTAGTGACAATGGATCGACCATTAGACATATAACAGTTGGATGCATGTGTTTCTGACCGGTAGAGATATTATGATGCTACGTATCCCATTGGTGGGAATGTAAAAGGCGATTCAAAACACATTTTGAAAGTGATAATAACATTAGATACATTTTTCAAACAATAATATTTTACATTGACATTTTGTTTCATTTATCATATAAAAAAATAATCTCTGTCATGCTATCATTTATATGTTATGATTTAACATATTTCAGCTCAAAATAAGCATAAATGTTGTGTTTAACCATTATCATATAATGTACAAGTCTTTATTTCTATCAAATAAATAATAAAATAAATGTTTTCAGTGTTTTAATAATTTACTAAAAAACAAAAAATGAAGGTGGTGCTTGTTATTACAACCTTAACGTAAAATCTCGCGCATGGTCTAGCTCGCATTTTTTCAGTTAAAAATTGTAAAAAGAGTGCTTTATCTTTACTTTTTTAGACTCATAAGAAAATTGAAAAATAAGAAAGCAAACGAACGCAACAATATTGAAAATAACACGACTTTGCGATATAGCCTTTGTAACAATTGCTAAACTGTAAAAGAATATAAAACTTGACGCTTTGTTCAATGTTCATTGTCTCCTCCTGAACATTGTTCGTTCGATTGTTCCTTTGTTGAAAGAATAGCTTGAAAATTGAAATGAATGCATGTCCTGATCAACTTATGGTTGGCTGAATGCAAACTTCGTATTATATTTTACTACAACTGCTCTGCTTTGGGTGGAACTGATTGTTTCAGTGGCTATCTCAGTTTCACGTTTCGATGAGGTCTCGGCTTGGATTTATAACAGAAATTTAGTTTTCATAATTTTTGAAATAACCAAAATTAAATCGAAAGTTTCAAAACGATTGAGAACGTGTTGTTTATACTTAGTACAAGTTGAATGTGTTTTTGAGACCAGCCATACCAGCAAGGTATAATCGTTGAAAATTATTGATAATAATCGATTGTCACTGGCTTATATTTATTTTTAAAAAATTAATAATTTCCAGAATTTCGAAGAAAATATTGAAGCATGCAGCTGTCAGTTAGGCTGCTGATTACCATCTCACTGTTGGCGACATTCGTGGAGAGGTCTGACGAACAATCTGGATCTCCGAATGTGACATCCATCCTGAACAACCTTCCACAATCCAGTCTCTGGTACCCTGGCCTCAGCGGCTTGTACGACATCACGAAAAGTTACCTTAGAACGATACCTAGAACGGGATTGGTCGAAAAACTGCTTAACGGTTAGTAACTTTAAATGTTAGACATAGTCGAAACAAATTTGTGGTACCTAGGGCGGCGATGTGGTAAAATTTTTAAGATGTCTAGTCGTGCGTTGCTGAAATCTGGCTCGAAAGCAAAATTATTCAAGCCTATCATATGTGAGGTGCGCTTCGATTCACACATTTACAAACCTGCGTGCTATTTTGGTTTTAAATAATTTGAATATAAGGGTCAATTTTTGAGAAATAAACCTATTATTTGGTATTGCATCGTTATAATTATAATAAAATTAATTATTATATTATATATTATATTATGAAAATAATAATGATACATTTAAGGCTACAAATTGAGTCTGGACAACGTTACACTGACCGACTTGCAAAATGCCAAATGGACAGAGACATCGAGCTTGGTCGCATATATTTTGAGTGTAAGGTTTTGTTCACAAATGTAACTTTTATATGTAAAAATGAACCATATAAAACAAATCAAATTTTGTAAAAAAAATAATTGTTTTCTGTTAAGTTTTATAAATAGCAGTACATTACACACACCAAACATACACGCCCACATAATTGACATGTGTATATCTAAAAAAGCGTTCGTTCATTCATTCATTCATTCATTCATTCATTCATTCATTTATTCATTCATTCATTCAGTCAGTCATTCATTCATTCATTCATTTATTCATTCAGTCAGTCAGTCAGTCATTCATTCATTCATTCATTCATTCATCCATCCATTCGTATTAATGAGTTTAGCAATCTTTTTTATAACAACTTTATTGTCCAATAAAATCGATTAAAATTTTAAACTAAATATTTCTGCTTTAAGGTCATCGCAAGCAACTGGATATACGTGTTGACTCTTGTTTTGGGGCTATTGTTAATAGCCTTGATGGCTATTTTCAACATCTTCCTAACATTCTTCAGAAGCCGAGGGGGCTTCTGCGGTAACACGGCAAATGTGGGTAGTACAGTTTACGACAATTTATTGTTAGGATGGTCGTACGCAACCATGAGTGTTCAAATTACTTTCATCTTGTTAGTAGATTCTTATTTTGTTCAACTATTTATGTGAAAATGTTATTTCGTCCTGAAAAATGAATATTAAAAGTTTAGCTGCGCAGAGTAGCTCCTACGAAGATATGCCGTTTTTCTACCTATTGTCAACTTGCAAATGTTTTTACATTAGTTTGCATTGTTGTGATATGCTATGCTGTTTGCAAACGTTTTAATAGCATTGAAAATAATGCTACCTCAAATTCAGTTATCGATTCAAGGCAGTTGAATATTTAGTGAACATTTCAACAAAACCGCAGTATCTGGGCAGTGGTTTTGAAATAAATGAACACGTTTTTCTAAATTTAAAACTTTCTGAAGCCTGACCGCGTTCGGAGCTATGACAAGCAGTAGAATTGTATCGGACAACTTCTACCATCCAGAAACATCTACCAACCTACCCTACGTCGCTGGGGTCCTGGCACCGGTTCTTGGCACGTTCTCCTTCATTGAAAACGTTCAAAATGTAAGCTGGCGTTATATTGAAATTTTTTAATGAAATTTTATTTTTTTTATATTGAAATTTTTTTAAATAAAATTTGATTTCATTGTGTTGAAATTTTTTTAATGACATTTGATTTTGTTATTTATAATGCAGCTCCTTCAACCGTAGAACTGCATACATGTTATTACTTATAATTGAACTTTCGTGCCAACATAGACTGTACTCTCCACCACAAATGACGTACATATACATTATGTATGCGCGTCAAAACAGGCATGGACTGTGTAATTTAGTTTGGGATTGAATGTATTCGAACCAGGACATCGCGTAATAACAGCGAGAATCGTGGCACTTTTACCGACTGAGATAACTTGCCGACTGAAAAAAATATCTTTATTTCACATTTGTAGCAAGTCGTTCAAAGTTTCGATACTGCTGTCTTCACCAAAAGACTGAATGATGTTTTGGAAAACTTTTATGGTATTTTTCGTTCTGCCGTTAATTATCTACATTTAAAAAAATCTTTCGCTTTCAAGCATTCCTACACCATTGTCAACTGCATCTTTTAAACAAAAAAAGCGTTATACGAACATTCTATAAAATAATTTCAATGATCACCTTGAACAGCTGTGATAAAAAACGCATTAGCTGGAGTCAATAAGGCACTTGCCGATGATCTAACTAATCTTAACAGCGGTTAGTACTTTACAAATATTTTGTTTATTCCTTTAATTCTTAAAGCAGAGGAATTTCCCATACAAAAATTGGTGACCGGGGAGAGGGAAATTTACACAAAAGTTGGTGACCGGGGTAGAGAAATGTTCGTATAATTTGTTTAAAAAATGGAACACTCATGGCTGATGGGCTTATAATGTCAATTTTTTGGTAAAAAAAACACTACTTTTCACGTTAAAACAACAACTTTTACCATTTTCCAACACAATGCCCCCCTCCCCTTAAATATTTATTCAACATACTTCAAATACATTAATTTTTGTTAGATCTGATTTGACGAAATATACACAAAATATATATTTTATCTGAATAATAATAGAAGAAATTTTATACAATTAATATGTTTCTACGATTATTCAATATTTTTTATTTTATTTTAAAATTACAAAAATAAACGAAAATAATTTTTAAAGCTTTGACTTCATTGAAGAGCTACGTAGCAACCATGAAAAAGTTGAAAGTTATGTATGAAAATTTCAATACAACTTTGGAAAGTGTTAGAGCAAAAGCGAACTCGTTAAGTTGTTTATCTGGTCCTTGCAACACCGCGAAAACAAATCTGGCCACATTAACACCGCTTAGTAGTTACCCGATAGTAGGGACATTTTTTAAAAGAAATTTTTTTCTATATTTATTTTACTTTTGCTAGATTAAATATTTTGTTACTGTAATTTATTTTTTATTTGTGTAACAAGGATTAGTCGCAAGAGTTGCATGTGAATATCATTCATTCTACGTTATGAAATATCTATTTGCAGTCGCATGATTGGGATTCATATTCTGCTCAAGTGGACTCCATCAGCAATAAGGTTAGAGAGTTTTTAATATTTATTTTTTCATAATTTTGTTTTCAAATTTTATAGAGGTGTTAAATTTATAAACTACATAATAATAGTTTTAATAAAAAATTTGTAAGAACCTTATCTGTTATATCGATGAGAATAAGCTGTACAAAGCTTAGTTCATAAACCTACACTCATATATTAGTAGTCAGTTGACAGAAACACGAGAAAATTTTATATTAGTTGGATGATTAAATTTTTCAATTATTGAACGTGCAAAAATAACTTTATACAACATAAATAAATATTGCAAAATCAATTTCAAACAGTATAGCTTGGGTACGCTCTTTCGATTTACTGACTTTTCAAGCGGTTAGAGTTTCTCCACCGTAATTTGAAGAGCATAATTATTTTTTATTTTTAAGAATATCAATAAAAACATAAAAATAGTAACAACAAATATAACTGAAAATCTGTCATAATCGTTTTCTAAATTCCCCCATCAGTGATCAGCCCATTAATTTCTTCATTGGGAAGTCTGCAGAGTTTGGTTAAAGCTTTTGATCTGAAAAGTTATTTGGGACCATACGTCAGTAATTTTTTGGCACACAAAATTTTGTTTTATTTTTTCAAAGATATCAATGTATTTTTCTAAACATATTTTATAAACGTTTTATTTTAAAATCACAAGAAAAATAATTCCAAAACCTTACAGCAAAAATTTGTGAACGCTTCCTCTACTGAGCCATTGTTCGCAAACATAACCTGGAAAACAATTAGAACTATTCTCAACACCATTTCCATGATTGCGTTAGATTTTTTTGTTCAAACTTACAATATAATATTTTTTTATGAAAAAAACTATGTTAATGTTTAAAATAACACAAAATTCCACTTTCACGAAAGAGGCTCTTACCATGTTATGGCGTTATCATTTAAAAAAATTATTACTGCTGGGCTTGCTACAAGATTCATCACATGTACGTACGATTAACTTTTCATAGCAGTGTTGAACGTAGGCAGCAAGACATGCATGTTCCAATAAAATGAAATTTATTTGAGTGACTGTCGTAGTGGTGCGCAATTTTAATGTTAAGAATGATCGGATGAGCAAATTTTTATTTACTCCATAACTAACTTTAGCTGACTTTGAACAATAAATTTTCAATGTTCGGATATACAATCAAGTATATACATAAGGACATTGACAAATTCAATGATTTTTTTACTAATAAAATAATTTCAATACCTTTAAAATATATGATTTTTTCCTGATAAGGATAATAATAACAGTAGTAACCGCCTTCACTTTGTTGCCAGTTGTGTTGTTGAACGCACTTGCTTTGGTTCTTGGACTTGTTTGTAGAGGTAATGTAGACAGAGCCAGCGAAAATATATTTCTCGTGTAAGTTCCATTTTTTCATGTCCACCTAAATAATTTGGTTTATGAGCTGACAAGAAATAGGAGGAGACATATTTTTACATAAACAGATCCAGCAGGGTCACATTCGGAGCTGGCATTCCACTGACTGTGTTTGTCTACATAACATTTCTCGCCGGCAGTTTGTCCTACACTGAATTTTGCATGGACTTTGAAAAAGGAGCAAATAGCAAATATTTTGGAGTAAACTTTTTAAATCTTTATGTTTAACAATTTTTTAAACAATTTTTCTTAAATTAATTAAACAATAGTTCAAGAGTTGTTTCTATGAACTATGAAACTTTCGGTAGGTGGCGGACCGAACATTCCAAAGTTTGATGAAAAATGCTATAGACTCTTTTTTGAGTAGTATCCCGTTTCTTAGTGGCTCTAATTTAAAGGTCAATCTTGATAATTTCAACCTTCTCAGAACAGGAATTTATGGGTTTGAAGTATTTCTATATTAAGTCATTTTATCATCTTTCACATGATATCATCTTTCTTTCACATGATATCATTTTTCACATAATATCATCTTTCACATGATATCATCTTTTATCATCAATATAAATCAATCTTGTTTTATTATCCAATTTTGTCAACAGATATTGCAAGAATGATCAAAGCCTTTTCGGCGTCATTTACGATACTGTTGGTTTCGACAGTACTGTTATTGTAAGTTAATTTTTAACAATTTTTTTTGTAGTGGAATAACATTATTTAGTAGACTTGAAAATAATTTTCTAAACAGGGAAATATTGTGAAGACGTTATTGGTACCATTTGCTGGCGCGTTCAGCACCTTAAATGTTACAAATCTCCCGTTGTTTGATGACACTTTCATCAACAGCATCAATAGTTCAGCTGATTCGTTGAGCAATTTTCCTGACTTTAACTCCTCTTCGGTTAGATTCTGTTGAGTTTTTCATTTCACGTAAAGTTGAAATAGATTGGTCGGTCATGTGGTTATCTATCAATCAACTTCAAGATTCATTTTTAACTAAAATTTTTACATGTTTGCGTGCCAATAATTAATATATTATTATTTATTTATTTTTAATTATCTAAACGTAGCTTGAAATTAGTTCATTTATTTAATTAAATTTACCATTTATAGAATTCAGTTTTTTTTTTCAAGTTTTCTTCTGTCTCAAATATTACGCTCCCAACATTGGCCAACCTGATCGGCTTAGTAAGCAGCGCTTCTCAAGATCCATCAGTACGATCATTGCTTAGCAGATTATTTTAAAACTGTTTATAATTTGTTTAACAAACCCTTTATTAATTTTTTCAATAGTTTTAAATTGTATGCATGGCTGGTATGCGTAGATGATATCATTCAAATTTATTGGTTTGGCCTCATAGTTTATCCATTAACATGAAAATTAGCTCTCTTCGGCAGACGCAACCACCCTTGCAAGTATTGCTGCTGATTTGCAAAGTTTGCAAACTCAACAAACAAATATTACCAGTGAAGAGGTAATTAAAAATTTATTTGAAATTAAAAAATTAAAAATGGCATTGTTAGTAAATTTAAAAAATTTCGTTTTTTCCGTCAAGAGTACTTACCTTTATACATATCAAAATTTGGACTATCTTGTCACTGGCAGTGGTAACACCGTAAGTGACTGTTATCAAAAATATTTTTATTTTTTAAAATATTACTTAGTCTTGATTTGCGTATTTATAAACTTCATGGCTGAATTAAAAAGTATTTCATATTTCCAATTAATTTTTTATTTTATTTTCACACGAAACAGAGCCTACCGTCATTACTTCAAAGTCTCTCAAATGATGTTCAAACCGCGAAAGCCAATCTAGACAGTTTAAATTCCACTGACGTAAGATTCTAAAATCATAACCATACATCATCATTATTATCTCCATCATCATCATTATTTATTTGTCAGCACCATGATAAATATATGTTTAGAAGCATTTATTGCAAACCAAACTACTGTAGCTGCCCTGAAGTCGTTTTACTCATTGGAACTTTCTTATAAAATCAACTCATTGTATATGTCAAGAAATTTTTTACTTAGTTTACTTTCAAAGATGAATTTGCAAGTTTTTTTTCAGTTGATTAATCGCACTTCTCTTATCTCAAATAGAACTTAGAAATGAACTCATTCATGTTAAATGTATAAATTCGCGTTTATGTAAGTTCATTATTTTATCAACTTTCTCAGCTGGCCGCCACTTTGAAGCAAAATTTGACCGCTGGTTTGACGGACTTCTTTAACTTTTTAAAATCACTAGTAAGTAAAATATTAATTCTTTTTAAACTGTGCCACTGAATATTTGATACAAAATCAAAAGACTAAATTTTCCTGGTTTAAGTAGTTAATGTAAATTGTTAATTCACTGGTCAGTCGGTTGTTTAAATGATAAACTTGAATTTTAAAAATAACTGTTATTTCTAATTTATTAATTGTACTGTCTCGTAAACGTTTATACAACACATTCGAAAACTTTTTATCATTTTAATGATGAAACCCGATTGCGTTACTCAACAGACGGCGGATTCAATGAAGTGCCGAGCCCTGTACGACGCATTCAGTTTCTTCGTTACCAGTTCCTGCGAAAATATTTCTAACCCATTGGTCAGTTGACGTTTCTAATACGTTGAAAATTAGTTCAAGATATTATTACGTATATTATTATATTTTCCAAATGGAAAGATTTTTAATTGTTTCAAATAGATAAACGATCTTAATTTGTATTCGTAACATTTTTCTTGCTATGATTCACTAAATCTTCTGCACCAATACTTTAGAATGCTTACTGGTTGAGCGGTGCCATGGCCATCATCTTTTCCATACCAACTGTTCTAACCGGACTTTACATGGGTGGATTGATCACTAGACAAGCAATATAATTAATATTTGCCTTCAAATTTAAAACTCTTAATTGCAAATTTAAAATGTTTTTAATGATACATACTTTTATTGACGTTCATTTACTTTTATGACTAGCAAATCTATTCGTTCATTTAACATACTAAATTTTAACATTTAACATACTTTCTAAATTTTAAAAAGATTTTATTTTTATACTTTTATTTTATTGAAATTTTAATCACGTTTGATGTTCATGATAATATTTTGTGTTTTAATAAAATCTTATATTTATTGCTTGGGGTAGTGCTATTGTAAATCTAGCTATTCTTGACAACCGTGTTCAAATGCAACTATACCCGTGTTTATTGGTGATTGTCGATAAAAACTGCAATACTATTAATGAATTATCATATATTATAGTAGAGATATTAGTATTTATGTGATTGATGGAGAAATTAAGTATTTATATGGTATAAATATGATAAGTATCTATATGATTGATGAGATAAGATCGGTTATCTTAGATACCGTATCTATATATATTATATATAGTAGAGATACATGTATTTATATGATTGATAGAAAAAAAAATAATAAGTGTCTATATGTTTGAGATGTGAAAAGTATCTATATAGTAAAGATATGTAAAGTAATATGATGGTAGATATTATAATGAATTTTGTAAAAAAAAATATTACACCTACGTTGTTTTTGGTTACTTACGTTGTTGTTGCTGCTGGTAAAAGCGTCTCCACACCGAGTAGGCGATTTTGAACCTCGATTATTTGATCAAATGTGTTTTAAATACTACTAATAAATGATATTAACATAATAAATATGAATGATAGGCTGTGATTTCGTTCGAAAATATTACTTTGCTTTTATTTTCAAATCTTAAATAGGCTGAAAAATGAAGTCTCAAAATAAAAAAAATAAATATTCGTTTATTTTCACATAATTTGATTGGAGATCATTCCCCAATTTGACGTAGAATGGAATTGGTTGTCGCAAAAAAAATTCTAAAAGTGTTTTTTTGTGTTGCCTTTATTCTCGTAAGTGAATGTGGCACTCAAAGTCCCAGTGAGATGATGCATGAATATTTGGAGCCAAGAAGCTTTTGGTACGAATCCATGAGACCAACCTTTTTCTTGACTAACACCTTTCTTCATTCAATTGCCGGCACAGGAATAACGAAATCTATACTGAAAAGTTTATAATTTGAAAAATTATTGATTAATAAAATCATATTATTGTCTAGTTTGTTGACCAGAAATGCAGGAATGAATGTTTGTTTATTATTGTTGCATGTCATTCAACTGTGGAAAATTTAAATTAATTTATTTATGACTTATGTGATCACTTTGTTTTGCATATGTTTTGTATTGTATGTTCAAGAAGATGCAATCATAAAAAGATATTTTTTTTTGTCAGTTCAAGAAAAAAATTAATCTTTATTTTATATGTTGCAATCTTAAGTTATTTTAACATTAATCATCTTCATAATTGCAGGTTTAAACCTCAGTATTGAAAAAGTAACTATGGATGATTTTTCTAAATTAACTTTAAATCAGTTTATTCAAGAGTTGTCCAAAGATAAAAGTGGACTCTTCATGAACGTTACTGACACTTTTTTTTGTATATTTCTCAAACAGTAACTTTCATAGCAACTTTAATATGGTAAATTTATATATTTTTGATCTAAAATAATATAATTATAAAATAAAGGTAATAGTGTAGATTAGTTGGTTATATATTCTAAAACATTTTTAAAAGTTGAAAAAAATTAAATCAAAGGTTGTAAAGAGTAACGTGACGTATACGTCGTTCTTTGTTCTTGGGATCTTAATAATCATTTTCATGTGGATAGCCTGCTGCACATTCTTATGTTTGCGTAGGTGTGGGTTTTGCTGGGCCAGTGTGGGACAGCAGAACCCATCTTTAAAAGATCAACATTTCATCACGGCTCTCTTCATTATTTTTCTTACTGTCAATATCTTAATTTTGTGAGAATTATTTTTAGATATTTTATTCTTTACATTTAAATTTGTTATTCAATATTTTTCTTGTTTGTTTTATTAAATATCTCAATATTTATTGAATGTTTTTTTCATTTGAGAACCTTTCATAAAAAAAAGTATAACATATCACTGATTAAAATGATTTCTAGAATATACATGTATTTCTGATGTTTTAATTTTCAAGTCTGGCTGCATATGGTACATTGGTCAGTGGCAAGGTACTGAGTGAAAGTTTCGTGCAGTCAGACAAGAGGAGTCAGGTAAAAATGATTGGCGGCTTCATGGGTGTGCTCGTGGGATTGTTTGCCTACATCGACTTTCTCAAAAATGTAATTTTTATTTAGTTTTGATTTGATTGGTAATAATAAATCCTGATTTTGCATTATATTCTATTATTGTATTTTGAAATTGTCATTTGGTAGATAACAAATACATGATTAGAAATGAAGCATGAGTTGATTAATTGGAAATTTATTAATTAATTATGAATAAACAAATTAAGGAAACTTCCACAGCGATCAGTGTTGATGAGTATTGTGACCGCATTGGAATAATCATTAAAGAGATTCCTGGTTGTTTTATAATTTTATTTTGAATAAGGTAATTATCAATGAGGTAGAGTCAAATTATTTAAACCATACTGCAGCTGAAATGAAGGCGGTGCTTCACAAAAGTTGCCCATCATTTGCACTTTTGCAGAGTGATTTGGCCAAACTGTCTCAAAGTACCAGGCTTTGTTTATTATCTGTTTTATAAGCCATTCGTTTGTGTTTGCACACACTAAATAAATATTAATATTTAACAAATTTGAGTATATCAGCATCCTTTTGTGCAGTTATTGTAACATTATTCACGAATTGCCCTTCTCCATTTAATTGATATCTCTTTTTATTATTTTTTTTGTTTTGAAGTCTAGAGTAATATGAAAGATTTTGTTTTATGAGTAATTTATGTTTGTCTGTATTTCGTGTTATTATTATTATTATTATTATTCATAAGTCTATTGAAGTTAATGATTGTTTCAATATTATAAATTTTTAAAATGGTTAATAATTGATTATTTTAGCCTTAACTGATCTGGAGAACAATATTGAAGAACTGAAGAGACACGGCATTTCAATCAAGCAAGATTACGAAAGTTTCAACAGAACGTTTGCTTCCATCAAGCCAGTTGCATTGCACCAGCTGAGTTTCTGTGCTAGCACAAGTAGTGATTGTGCACTGGCTGCCACTTTGTATCAGTCGTTTATTTTTCTACGAAGTGACTCACTTGTTAGTTTCATTTACTTTTATTTTATTGTTACATTTTGGTTTAGAAGAAATTAAAACATTTTCAACAGTTCATTACGATGATTTTTCTACAAATAGAAACATTGTTGCTAGATCTTTTTAAATAGTAATGCGTTATCCTTGTTATCAGTTTCCAGATCTAACTCCTTTTCAAGTACAGTTTAAAAACTTTCAATCAGTTATACCAAGTGTTAGTTGTTAATTTTTTTTCACATTCGTCATTGTTCATTCATGCCTATATTTTATTATATATTTTATACATTCATGCCTTTATTTTATTATGTTTTTTATTTTTTTATTTTCAATTTTGGTTATACTCAGCTCGACATCTTTAAAAAATTTATTTCAAACACTTTCATTGAAATTTTTACCGTGAAATATATAATGATACGAGTTTAAAGACTGTAAATGTGAACAATATTAACATTTTTGTTATCTATGAATCAATGATCATTCCTCACTAGGGGGATTTTGAATCTCTCTTAGATAACTTTGATCAACAATTTAACAACTGTTAGTAAAAATTTGCTTCTTTGGTTTTCATCTGGTTACTCACTCACACACACACGCACGCACGCACACACACTTATTCAAACACACACACATATACAAAACACGCGCGCGCACACACTTTAATTTATTAATACTAAAATTATTTTTTTCATTTCAGTGTTGGTGTCAATGAGAGACTCTCTGACAGTTTTAAAAAGTTCCATTCAGAACCTTGAACTTCCTCAAATAGCCAAAAAATTTGTGTGTTTTCAATTAGGGGCGGTTCTAGGGGTTTTCTAGGGGGTACTCTTAGGGCGGGTGTAAAAATTTGGTTGGGAGTGTTTTATTACAGAGATGAAAAAGGGATGTTTCGAGATTTGTTATGTAACAAATTTTTACATTAAAAGATTAAAACATTTTGGAGAAATAAAACTAATGAAATAACTTGATAGAACATTTTCATGGAAAAACTAAATAAATGTGTGTGAGAAATTTTGAAAGGGGCTTAAGAAGTAATTTTGTCGAATAGATCCTTAGTAATTTTATATTGAATAAAACTCCTGATGAAATTTTAACACCATCCCTATCTATATCGCCATTGTATATCGATTATTATCCTCATTCATATTTATACGTATGTCTCGTGAGATTTTAACATTATGATCGTGTTTTTTAGAAAACTTTGTTGCAATTGGTTGCTATTTGTATTGTAACGATTCATATTTAGAGAGATTCATTCAACGAGTCCTCGTCTGAAAAAGTGTTTCTTGATTTGACATGGAAGGATCTCAACAAGATCTCCGCAAGATTTGTTACCTTGCTGTATGTTTGTTTAATTATTTTTTTGTCTACTTCATTATTTGTTTCAATGCTTGTTCGCTTGAATGTTTGCAAGTTTAAACAAATATTCAAAAATGTTTCAAAACGTTTTCATCACTAATTCATTCAAAACGTTTGTTTTTATTCTCCATTTCTTAACCAGACTCGTCGTCACAATCCTAATCGCAACATTGGTGATGGAAATTGCATTAATTAACTTCGTTGGAATCATCCTAGGCTTCGTATTTGTCACTACTGAGAATGTCTGGTGCGAAAAAGTGTTTGTCGTGTCAGTTAAGATTAAATTTTTATTAAAAATTTGCACTGGTAAAAGCCATCTGTTTTAAAGGCTGAATCAAGTCTTCAATCAATCAATTCTGAATCAATCAACCTCATTTGTGATGATTAAGCTGAATTGAGTGAGGGCGATGGTGATGAAGACAAATGACGCTTATGCTGCCAATGAATCTTAATGTACAACTGTACGTAACAGAACTTCCCAAATGTCTCTATTCATTGGCTTGCTGTTGACTCCAGTGTCGTTTGTCATCTTCCTCATTGGCAGTCTTTACTACAGTGAAGTCTGCATTGATTTCTTAAATGAAGAGGACAGCGATTATTTCGGAGTTTAGCGAATTAAATCTTTTTCTTTTTTGATCATAAAATATGATAATCAAAAGTTTTATTTCGATTAGTTTATTGTTATATAAAGAAGATTAAATAATTTACATTCAGCCGTTTTGTTGAATGTCAATATTTTCCTGATTATATTGATTTCATGTTCATCAAACAACGAGTCATTCTGAACAGTTGATCTAGCAAAAACTAAACATTGAAATTAAAAGTTTGTGGACCGATCTGTTCAAAAGGTTTTGGAAAAAAAATTATCGAGTTTTCTAACTGGTTTTCCGGCATTTCGCAACGTATCTGTTGGGTTTGATGTGAACAAGATTAACCTGATGAGAGGTGGAGTTCTAGGGTTAGTTATACATATACAGTCATCTTGAATCTTCTTAGTCTTGTTGGTAATCATACGATGATAACGGTTTTTGTTTAGCGGGCTGATACATTATTCTAAATAGGTTATTTCCTTGAAATTATAATGAATGTTTGCCGGTAAAATTTTGCTTTATATAACTTTTCATAAAAAATTGCCTTTTTTCCAAAAGGTTATTATTGGGTTAATATGCTGGGTTATGTTACTGCATTTGGTAATTTTTTTTCTTCTTGCATTTTATAACTACTAAAATTTAATTTTTCAGTCACTGTAAAAAGTCGGAGAGCATATTTTCGTTGGGGTTTGACATCGTCGATCTCAACAACGAAACCATCGTTTGTAGTTTTGTTTCATCCTTACCTTAATTAATTTCATCGAAAGTTTTAGTTTAGAAATTGTTGATCTTCAGTGATATAACTAGAGGTTAGATAATTTGATAGCGAGGGTATTTTAGTATTCTTCAGTGTATCAACAGTTGTTGCAGTAAACTGGTGATGGTGATGTTGATGTTAATGTTATCTGAGCGCTGGTGTTCAACTAGAGTGCCAGTCACAAGCAAATGTGTGTGATTCGTTGTTTCACGTGCATTCGCATGCGTTGTGTGTTTGTTGTTGGTGCCTCTGGAAAATAGTGAAAAAAGATTAGTAACAAATTAGTAGCAGCTGACAGTAGCATTTATAATGGTAACATTTTAATGTTTTTATGTGCAAAAAAAATTGCAACATAGTTAATTCATCAGTTTGATTTCTTCTTGAATATACTTGTTTATCTTGTCGCTATGTATATAAATTTTATTTTATTTCGCTACAGCCATATTTTTATTTTATTTATTCGCATAGAGTCTGGTGTCTGAAAATGTTTTGCGCTCAGTTGACAAGCAGATCAAGTCGTTAAACCTAACCAGCTTGCCTATATTTCAAAATGACACTTTCGAGCTAATCAAGGATGTGGCAAATATCATGCTGACCTTCCCAGTGTTGAACGTTTCTGTGGGCATTTCGTCTTAGTTTATTTTTTTTTGTTGATTGTGGGTTTTTATTGAATGATTTATTTCAGTTTTCTTGAAACACTGGGTATACAAATCTTTGAAGTAAACTTTACCAACATAGAATATTTAAATGCTATAATGTGAAATAATTTCTAGCAAATAAACAAAAACAACAACACACGTTTAGGCGACATTTTCCCCGTGATCGGGGGTTACCGTTTGGCTACCTATGATGAAACCGAAATACCCCTCGACGCCATCCACATCTGTCACTCGCCTCAGTATCACGCAACCCCGCTTTCACCCTGTCCTTCTCCACCTGCTCTCTCCATCCCAATCGCGGGCGACCCCTTCCTACCACTCCTTCAACCTCGAACTCCAACGCTCGCCTAATCCCTACCCTTTCATCCCTTCTCAACACATGTCCATACCACCGCAATCTCGATCTCCTTATCAATGTCACAATGTCCTCATTCAGTCCCATCATTGACATCAGCTCTGTACTACTCCTCCTATCCTTCACTTTAACCCCACACATCACACATCAATTTCTAGCAAATCAAATTTTTAAATAATTTTTTCAGATTATAGCACACTAGATGAACATGAGCTTATCGTGAATTAAAATTCTTAGATTATTTTATTACTTTTATTTCAAATAAATTTCAAAGCAAACAGTTTTTTTAAATTGTTTTGAAATATAAGTTTATTGAAAATATTGAACCAAAACATTTGGTCACTACAGAATACAAATTGACATTTTATTTTTCAGTTGATAAACTGAATACTAGTGAATGAATATTTTCATCATATAATATTAATAAATAGATGAAACGATTATGAATAAACGATAATAATTAATAATAATACGTAAAAAAATTATGTCATTCTCACAATGTAGTTCACTAATATCAGTGTGCCTCCGTTAGAAATCCTCAAATCATCAACTTTGAATGTTGTCAACAATCCAACTGTATGTCATTTTAGTTTTCAAACACCTGTTTGTGTGTGTGGTGTGTATGTGTGTGTGTGTGTGTGTGTGTGTACCATTGTTAACTTACTCCATTTTTTTGTGTATGTTTCTTATTCATAAAATGTTTATTGACATTTATTAATCTCTTGAGAATAATTTCACTAATATTTTTTCACACAATTATTTGTTTATTTTTCTCATTTTTATTAAAAGTTATTTTTATATTTGCATTTGGCATTGAAAGAAATAAATTAAAATAAATTAACATTTAATCAGGTTTCGGTATCCGTTAGAGACATATTACGTGGGAAACTGGTTGACATAGATGCTCTTATTAAGTTATCTGAGCAGATATTGAAACTTGAGGTTAGCAATTTAGTACGCCGTGTTAGATTAGTAGTACGTAGTTATAGATTAGTACACCTAGTACTATTAGTAGCTTGGTTTTAAGTAAAAATCTATTAACATTACTGATTTTGAAGTTCTATTTATAACATGGAAAATAACGCCAGTGTTAACAAACTATTTTAGAAATAGATTAGATTTAACACAAAGAGGTGTGGTTGTATAAATGGGTAGCTGATCGTCCAATGATGTCGGGTCACACAAAAGTTACACTCTAAGTTACACATATGAAAATAAAATAACCATTAATTTGATGGTGGTAAGACGACTTTGATTTTTTTAACTGTTTTTGGTTAAACTTTTCGTCAAAACATGCAGAGCGTTTACATGGAAAAGTTCAACTTTCTGAGGAATGGCCTGTCAAAAGGATCGGACGTTTGTATAAAAGTTTTATAAATTATTGTATATATAGGCTAATTTCAAAATTGACCATTTGATATAAAGGATTTTTTTTGTAATTTACTGTGTTAAATCTAGTTTGAATTGAAAAATTATTATAATTTATACAATGTTGCAAAGACTAGTTTGGTTTGATTGAATACCCAACTATACAGGAGTTAAACCATGACCATTTTTTCCATTCATTTAATTTCCACAACTGTTGTGTCTTCCGCTTAATTGTTGGTTAATAACGACAATTAATTATTTTACCCTCTATTCAATTTGTTAGTCGTTAGTGGGGACAGTTGACAGTCTAATCAAGCACCTCTGGATGATGATTGGTGAAATTTCAAATCCTAAATTTTCAACTCTGGTTTGATAATTTTCCGTGTTGATTTTTCAGTCAATTACTTGATGTTTTAATGTTGGTAAATATGATTTTGAAACTAGTAACAAAATTCGCAAATTAAAAATTGGCTAATGAATTCCTGGCTGGTCTCAAATGTTGATTTAGCCAGTTGACTTCTTTTTTAAGATGCGCCATTCAACACGTCAGAACGTCCCATATTAAGTTACAATGTGATGGTGATAGTTATGCTGATGATAATCAGAAGGGTGTTAGTAAGAATAATGATAGTTATAATGATGACGTTGTTGATGGGTTATGGTGAAGACAACCATTCAATAAGTAGGTACAGATGAGTGATGACTTTCCACTTTACAGCTCTCAAGTTCCGTTAGTGAATTTCTGCTGAAGAAGCTGGTTGATTTCTACTTTTTCTTCAAAAATTCGGTCGTTTATTGATTTTTTTATCAATTTTTATACTTATCAAATATCTATGTTATTATTATTACTCAAGATTATGTGATATGCCCTACTATTTGAGAATTTTGGCCTAATAGCATTTGTAACAAGAATGTAATAATATTAACAGAAATTTTATCACCAGTGTAAGACTTTTTGGTACTTCTTTTGATTTCATCATAATGACTTGCATGACACGCCTCATCTAGATACTCAGTGTTGGCAAATGTAGGACTCTCTACGACATCTTCACGGCGTTCATCGTGTCCTCTTGCGCTACCACCATCAATCCATTGGTTAGTGTTACTTAAGCTATTTAATCAAGCTAAGTTTTTTCTAAAGATAGAATTAAAAAATGCCATGTAATAATATATTTTTTCTTGTTTTGGAGTAAAAATTGTCCAGGTTATCTGTGAAATAAGCCGGTCAGCAAACAGATATGATTGACTGGTGTTTTTGTTTCTCTTATTCAATCGAATCTGCATCATTTACTCTACTGATGTTCTCTTCGGAATTGTATGATGTCAAAATACGGACAAAAGACTAAGACTGTAAACAAAAATTTCGTCAGAATTCTTTTTGGTTTTGCTTGGGATCAGCACTCGTCCTTTTCATCCCTAGTATGATCTCCGGATTGTGGCTGGGGGCGCTCATAACCAGACAATATGGAGGAGTGTTAGTGCTTTCGATTCAGTGAATTTTTGTTATTTAAATTTTCAATGAATCCGTTTATCAGTTAAGTAACTCTTAATTGAAAAAAATATTACTTCAATAAAGCTTGGACACGTACAGTATAAGGTACAGTAAATACCCAGATCTTATGCCATCCACAACAAATAATGCCTCTTCATTGCATTATACCAAATCTGACCTATCGGGGAAAAAAACATCAGCTCAACGCTCACGTGACTCGGTTACGAGAAAGTCAACTCTACATAGTTTAAAATCAAAAACGGAGTTGTCACCCAGTACCAAATCTGATACTGTATCTCCTTCAAGTAGAGAATCGGATGCAGATTTATTACCCAGTACGAAATCTAAAACCATTTCTTCTCCTTACAGTAAAGGTTCCGTAACAAAGACTTTTACTAGTTCGGTGCAGAACGTCACAAAGGATAAAGATAAATCAAAGAGAAAGAAATAAAAACATCAATCAGTGACTAGTGTACAATTAAAACGTATGCTTAAACTCCTGAATGGATGTAGTAGAACTCATAAAAAATAAAAATAACATGATTTTTTTTCTACGGAATTATTTCTGAATTGTAAGGTTTCATTTAGCTTTATTTTCAATACTATCCTCTATATTTTTCTTCAACACGCCACTTCCATTTTTCTTGTTTTCTATCAATAGACTGCCGTTAATTTGCTTTTGGAAATACATCACTGCTTTTTTTTATTTATTTAAAAAAATTTAAACTCATAGTTTTGAATGCATTCGAGAATAAAATTATAATAACCGAAGAATAAAGTACGATCAATAACTGGTTCAATAAATACAGCTTTAGGGAAGTAAATAAAGGCTGGCTCCAAGATCGAGTTTTATTTAATAAATAAATACTTTCCACATGTACGTATCAGTAGTGCAAAAAATATGTAAAGGTATAAATGATGACGCGATTTCGCGAATTTTTATCCTACTAACTTTTGTCAGAATTTTACTTGGAATAAACCATTCTTTTGAAGATGAACCGATTTTTGAGTTGTTGAATTGTAATGTCTGCAATCATTTTGAAATTATTTAAATGAATTTTCATTAGGCTCAACCTGTTCTACTGAAAAAATGTTATTCCCTCAAGTTGGAACAAAAGTTTATTTGGCATCTATCCATACAAGTGACAGCATTGATATAAGCAATGCACAAAATGTTGATTTGTAGCTTTCAGTGACATGCTCCTATGAATTTAAAATGCACCTACCTGTACCACTCTGATTTTCATCCATGAGTGTCAAACTTTCCATTTAGAGAACTTCTTTTTACAACCATCCTTACAAGCAAATGGTACATCTGCCTCTACATTTTAATTTTTTGAATCACTTATGTGGATAAATTTTTATTAAGTGGTGGTGTAATTGATTTTGCACTCATATTTAAAAGACAAATGCTCAATTTGAAACACATATGAAAATCTTTTACTTATTTATTTAACATGAAAAAGAAACAAGAATCATACATCGTATTACTTCTGAATCACACATCAACACAGTGAACATAACTTATTAAACATTTTTAAAATCATTCAGCTATCATGTTTTTTAAGCTTCCATTGAAACGGCAAAAGAACTTTTAACATCAGGCAATTCCCGTATTCCATCCTTGTCCACAATTTTTACCTTGAAGCATTCCAGGTTGATTATAAATCTTGTTGTGATCTTGGAGAAAAAACAATATGTTTTCAATAGAATGCTATTGTAATGTCATATGTGTGAATTTTTGAGATGCATCTGATAGACTGAATATTTTAAATTGAGTTATACAAATGTACAACCTCATCAACACATTTCTGTAATAATTTCATGGCTTCATCTTGTGTCATGTCTGTAAATAATCAGTTATCATGTAAATAAGTAGCAGTTATAACATGAACAAATGCAAAATTACAAAAGTACAGTAGATACCTGGTTTATAATGGCAGTCCATGACACTGAGTGAGAAAAAAGATGAATATCCATGGGTGGCAAACGGAACCTTTACCAAAGAACCCAAGTAATCCATGTAATACAGATTGGCACCATCTTTAGAATCATATCCAGCAATTAATAAGTTCACAAAATAGGGTGTCTGTCAAAGATATTAATCAATTTATCTTGCTGATTTCCAGTATTGCAAAATTATTATTGCTGGCATATTAACCCTGCTACGAAGTGACTCGGCCATGCATCTCCTGGTGAAATAGGCAGCCGCATGAGTTGAAAGATCATAGCCATTCCTCATTCTGTACAACTGGATGTTTTTTGAGATGTACTCTGCAAACTGTACGGTGTCACCATCTCCACCACACACAGACATTAGGAGGTTGTCACTCAATTTGATCGTCTTGTCCTGATCTAAGAGAATTTAAAAAAAAAAAAAAAAAACAAGATTTCTAATTTTTATCTGATTTTAAATTTATATTTATTAGTTATTCAAACTATAAAAATCGATTTTGGTAATCAAGTTGAATTAAGAGTAAATTTAACTCGCGATGAAATTGAAAATTATTGAATAGGTAATTAAATTAAAAATAAAATTAATAAATTTCCTGATTCCAATTTCATGTGTAAAAAATTATAAAATCAAAATGAAACGAAAAACAAACCTTTCTTCATGGCAACTATACTACGAGCCATCAAAGAATCAGTGGCCAATAAAACAAAATCTTTCCCTTTAATTCCAACCAAGCACTCCATAATTGATTACTTTGTTCAAAATTTAAACTCGAACGGCAAACGATAATCCGATCAAAAACTCTAGTCACCGTAGAAAAGATAAACAACAAAGAACAACGTAACACAGCTAAAAGTTGATTTCTGTTTTAAAAAGTATTTTGACTTCGAAAGCTAAATTATAATATATAAAGCTATAATATAATATATAAAGCTATAATATATATCCATGATCTAGATTGAAGCAATTATGATAAATTTTTTCATCAATATGGCTTGGCCATCTACTCTAGATTTCAAGACATGCGATAATATATGCTTAAATCCTTTAACCAGCTTCTTTCTATGACTTATTGCTTTTATTCTATGTATATGCCTGCATTTCCCCATCAAATTCTTTCCATTACAAACTTCACTGAAAACTAAAGCAGTAATGATGTCATACACATCAAAAATGGGCAACTTTAATGACGTCATGCATATTATATTAAAATATAATAAACTAATAAAATATATAAAGACGCAAAAGATTTCAGGAGAACATTCAATTCAGATTAAGTGGTATATTTCAATTCCTATGTGCCATTTAATGGTTTAAGATTGTTATAGTATTATAAAAAAAGATCAATTTTTATTAACAAATAAAACATTTACTGCAGCCATTCAGATTCAAAATCTGTTTCAATATGAAAAAGGTTTCTTTGGTCTTGGTCATTTTCATTTCGTACATTTTCTTTACATTTCATTGATTTTTGAGATCTGCCATATAAGATAGATAAAATACTTTACACTCATATTTGATGAAAATAAATTCATGTACTAAGTACTCCAAGTATAATGTACTAACTGATCTGTACATGTAAACTGTCTTGTTTCATTATTGATAACTTTCTTTATATTGTTGTGATCATCAGTGTGGCAATTATGAATCAGACCTTTGCCCTCAGCATCATACATATCCTCTCCATCCCTTCTGTCATTTTCATTCAGAAACATGTCCCACCTTTAATATAAATTGGATTATATCATGAATATTTTTATAATTTCAAACTCATATAATGACAAAAAGAACTCTTTTCTTCCACTTATCTGTAACTTATTTGCTTCTTATTAAAAAACAAATGACAAATTAACCTAGTTGATGATTTTTTCTGGTTCTCAGTAATGCCAGTCTTCGAAGTTTTTTTATGTTTAATGTTAACAAACCCCTTTTTATCATTATAATTGTTATTGACAGCAAAATCAACAAGATGGTGGTGCCCATTATCATCATCATCTGCATCTTCAGAAAGAACAATTTTAGAGGAATCAATGAACCTGCTCCATTTGGATGTGGCCTGGCAATATTATTAATTAAACAAATTTTTACTTATTAAATGGATTATAAATATTTATAATTATCAATATTAATAATTACCATTACAACAATAATAATACAACAAGTTACCTACCTTAGAATCTCTGTCTATTTTTCTTTTATTTATACCTGAGTTAACTATCGAGGAAGTGTAATGCTCATTTTTATGATGGCCAGATTGGAGTAAATGTTCGTAAGCATGATGACCATGTTTATAACCACCATATCCTTGTTCACAACTATTGTTTCTTTTGTCCTCATTGTAGTCTTCTTCTTCTTCACTGAAGTCTTTTTCTCCATCTTCATCGTTATTTAATTTTAATCTATTATTTTCTATCTCACCTTTCAATTTGTTCAATTTTTGAACGTGCATCCTGCATTCATAGCCAGCTCCTGATCCATAAATCTGTGTAGAAGTTAATAAGGTGCACTTAAATTTAATAATTAAATTTAATAATTAATTTAATTTTAATTTTAACAAATATCGTATAATAATATTGTTAATAACGTTAATTGTTATTGAATGAGTCAAATTGAAAATGAACAACCTGCTTAACAGATTGCTTCTCTTCGCAAACCTTGCACGACCACCTACCGGTTTTTTTCTGCTGCTGCACTTGAAAAGTTTCACATTTGTAACATCTCAGGACGTTAAAAACCTGCGGCATTTTATTATTTTATTACATTAAGTCGTTTGAAATTAAGAAAGGAAATTGAGAGGAAATGAATAATTAAAATTAAGGACATGTTAAATTAAGAAGTTCGCTTATTTACATGTTCACATTTAAAATGTGCGCTCATCAGTAATTTGCACGTGTGTCTTACGGGCCGGGCTATTTGCCCTGGCTTATTGGCTTACGAAATTGCATGGGTTTTAAGTAACTAACAACTAATGCAAAATATTTACTTGACTAAATATTTTTAAAACAATATAATTAAATTGAATTATATAATTTAAAATTATTGCTATCAATTTAAATAAAAAGTATTGCTTTTTGTTTAGAAAACACAGTAGCTTACTGAAGCCATGGTTGGCTTACTTAGGAAATTGCATGAGTTTCAACAAACAACTAATACCTAACCTACTAAATATTTATTTGACTTAATATGTTTAAAACATTGTAATTAAATCGAATTATATAATTTAAAATTATTTTTTCAATTTAAATGTTGCTAATCTACCGTTAAATAAAGCCATAGGTTAGCTTACTTACGAAATTGCAATATTTTCATTAAAATTGACAAAAATAATTTCAAATTACATAATTTAAAGTCCATTGGTTGATTAGTTGATTGTTTGATTAGTTAAATAATTGATTGATTGTTCGGTCAGTTGATTTGATTCATTTGTTGATTGACTGGTTAATTGTTAGTACAGTATCAAACTGTATTTTATAAAACAAAGTAGTATCATAAAATGAATAAATAAACTATTTTCAAAAATTTGAAAAATTCCCGATTTGATTTCATTGCAATTTCGATGATGATCATTGTGACTGACTAATTAAAAAACGTCAAATAAAACTTATAAATAGGATGTGCGGTAATTTGTTGCAAAATCGTTGGAGGAAATGACGTCATTTTAATAGTAGTTATTTAACTGCATGGTAGTCAATTAACTGGTATAAAGGTTAAATTCGATTCCTATCATAAAAATTTAGTACGCAAAACTAAATAAAGAAATGGATACGTAGTTATAATACATTTATAACGTTATTTATACATTCAAATTGTACAATTGTGTTATGTTGCGATCTCAAATTATTTTGAATTCTCTCAGAAAAATTTAAACTGCTTGCGTACATACGTAAATTAATTACTATTGTTTTATAATGGGTTTATATATTATCAGAAATTTTCTAAGGATCGTTCGTTAACGTCAATTTAGTTTGATTAGCATTGTTGTTATTTTTGTTTAACTTTATTTTTTCATTTCTCTCATACATACTTGATAACATTCACACATACGTAAGCACATAAATAATCACGTACGTGATGTTTTTGATATGACAAAAACACTCCAGAGGAACCGACCTTGACCTTGAAAAATTTTCTTAGTTTAATTTTATGCACACAAACATTCACACATACATACATAACAACTTAGTGTATGGGTGTTGTCGTACATATCTGTATTTAGGTATTATTTATGATACACCGTTGTATATTTGTGTATCTTGTGTATCTATACCAGTATTCGAACATGTACGAACGTATATGCAAAGTGTATGTAGGCCCAGTGGCGAATTTAACAATTTTTTCAACTTTATGAAATGGAGCCAAATAAAAAAGTTAAGAAGATTATCTTTTATTTGTTAAAATGCATAACATGGATGAGAACAACATTGAAGTGAATTTTAAAATTTTCCTCGCTTATAAATTGATTTAAAAAAACTGATTAACTATTAATATTTTTCAAAGTTCTTCCATAAATAGGAGCCAAGTACTTCAACATGACCTTCACAAGTTCCTCAAGGTCATAATGATGTTTCCATCCCCAATCTTTGCGGGCACCGCTGTCATCAAATTCCATTGGCCAGGAGTCGGCTGGTTACATTGGTTGATGATTTACGATTTTGTGGTTAGATGATTTGCAATGAATACATATTCAACCCATATATCTATTGCAAATCATCTAAAAAACATAATAATTTCCAGTAAGCACAAATTTCATCGTTTCAACAGTTTCAAAATTAATAACAGAAATGTTAAAGTGATTTGAATTTATTAAACACAACCTATGTCCTGCCTGTTATCCGGCTTGTACGTCACTCTCAACTCGGGAATGTACTTTTTGATTTTTTCCGCGAGATCCTCAGGCGTGAAGCTCATGGCGTTGATGTTGTACGTTCTCAACTTCAACTTCTCGTCAGGAACTGTCAGGAATTCTTCAATGGATCTTCATAGATAATTAAAAAAATAATAACTAAGAAAATAAATTTAAGAAATAAATTCAGTAATCAATCACATAACCAACATATTAGATAGTCTTGTTTTTTTAAATGATTTTATTCTATCCGCTCGTTTTAAAGTAAATCTTGAAGGGCTAAATAAAAACATCCGCAAAATATACGCGTTTTTAAAACCTGAATTTAACTCATAATTACACATTTTCTTATGAGAACCCTCAGTTCACTGCACTTTCCAACCTGAGGCAGTCGTCAACGTAGATCATTGGTAGTTTGGTGTCTTTCTTCAAGAAGCAAACGTGGTGGCCGGTTTTCAGGGCATCGTGAAAGATCTGACATGCGTAATCTAACGAATAAAATTGACCATGGTCATTTGTTTTCGAAAATTTTACAGAAATATCTGCGTTAGATTGAATTATAATAAAGTTTATTCAGTCAAAAGAAATAACGGTATCATCGTTAACTGATTTGTAAGTCGAAAAATAAATGCATTAGCTAGCTCATTTGCCAATGACACCTCACCTGTGGTACCGCCGCCTGGAGCTGTATCAGCTGATATGACACCTGGGAAACGAAGGCTTCTGAAATCTAATCCAAATTTTTGATGGAAATACTGTAAATTATGAATAAAAAAAATAATAAAATTAAAATTACATGTTTGTCTTCATGTTTATTTTTAGTTTAATTTTATTTTCTATATTAAACTTAAAAAACGCAACCTTTTTACAAACATTATTGAAAATAATAACATTAACCTTTAACCAACCAACCAGCCAACGAACCTCTCCCATGAGTTCAGCGTGGACCTTGGACACTCCGTATATGGTCCTGGGTCGCTGGATGGTCAGGTCGGGGGTGGGATTGCGGGGCGATGTTGGTCCGAATGCTCCTAAATAAAAGTCGAATAAATTAGTTTATTATTTCAAAGAATCGTTTACAACATAATTTCCAATTAATTAAAAATCAAACTACGTTCAGTACCTATGGTACTCGGGACGAATAGCTTCAGTTTGTATTGCTTGGAAAGTTCCAAAACATTGTGGAAACCTGGAAAACAAAATTGTTATTTAATCATTAAATAATATTATCTAAAGAAACATCAGGCACCAGCACATCACTTATTACTAACAGACCTTCGATATTCAAACGAACAGCCAGTGAAATGTTGTTCTCCCCGATTGCACTCAGGAGAGCACTGAAATGAATGAGCCAGTCAACTTCGCAGTTGACCACAATCTCCTGTAGGTTCTTGAAGTCCAACACATCAGCGTATATGTAGCGGCCTTCGAGAATTCATGCAAATAAATGATTAATGTTGAGTTTCAATTTCGAGAAGAATGAGATGATGTAAGATTGATTGGTCGATCCGTTTGTTGTTAATTTATTGAGAGCGATAAAATTAAAAAATTGATTGATTAGCTACTTTAAAAAATGAACATGCAAGTTTGAAATTTGAGAAATAAAGAAGGGACTGTGCAATTGATAGGGTGAACCTTCATTTAATATCTCCTTAGATGGCTTCAAGATGTCTGACATGATTACTGATTCTTGGCCATACTTTTTTCTGAAATTTGTATTCCAAAAATCATTTGTTGAAATAAAAAACTAGTCCATAACTCAAAAATATAGTAGTCAATAAAGAGTAGAGTGATTAATAATATAGAGAATTTTTAAAAAACTGCATAAACTCATTAATGAATAACTGAATGAGTTAACGATAAAAGTTATGCAACTGAGATACTGACCGGTATAAACGACCAAGTCCCTTGCCCAGCTGACCAAGGCTGCCTTATGATGAAACCATATTAAATATTATTTATTATATTATTATTTACTATATTATTATTCATAATTATGTTATCAATATTTCTAATGTCAGTAATTTTTCAAATTATTACTTCAAGGGTTTTACATATTAAAATGCGGTTAGATTACAATAACTAAACTGTAACTAGCTAGAGACGTGATTTATACAACAAGGTCTGGCTACGTTAATAAATAACAACACTGATGAGGTGTGCAGATTTTATTTTAATTCACTTTCATTTAGTGTTGATTTATTTATTATTCGAAAGTAATTGATTTATTTATAAATAATAATGAGATAAAATAATTTTTCTAACTATAATAAATATATATTTAGTGCAATAATGTGAAGTTTTGATACGTACTTAATTGGAATTGCGTTTATAGATATACATTGAAAGTTGAATCAAAAGAGTCAGTAACCTGTTATTAAAATTTTGGGAGCATTTGCAGCAGCTGTTGTTGTGGCAGTTGTCGTCGTCGTTGCAACAGAATTTGTCGTCGCTGAAGCAACCACATTCCTAAATAAACACGTCAGCTTCTTGGAGTAGCGTGACGGGTATAGTCTTGAAAACATTTTTAGTGTTTCTGATTGTTCTTTTGCTGATGTAGTTGAGTGTATTGTTGATGTTGTTGATACTGTTGCTGATGTTTTTTGATGAAATTGAAGTGGTTGCAGTAGTTGTTGATGTCGTTAACTTTGCGCTTATTGTTGATGAAACATTAAATCACTTTTAACAGACGTAATTGTATCGATAATGTTAACTTTTGTGAAGCAGTTACAGTTACCAACACATCTACAACCTACTACAATAATGACAACTACCTTACAACAACAACAACCACAACGCCACAGCTAGTTGAGTGGCGTCTGACGACTTTTAAATCTTAACAATAAAATAAAAACGCAGTCTGGTTCACATAGATTTATTTTAGCAATAAATAAAACACTATAGAGTATATAACAATGCTTTTTCTTTCGTTTACAGATAGTACATGGCTCGCTCGCATTTAACTTGCTTACAGTGAATGTCACATATAAACTATCGTACGAACACACACTCACACACACACACACACACCACATACACACATGTGTTTGTAAGTAACGCAAGCATTCAATATCATTCATGCACGTATGCTAAAATTTCTTTCACAAATTTTAAAATAAACAAGTGTATAAATACTTATTAGTTGAATATGCAATAAATAATTAAGTGCAATTATAATTTATATATATATTTATATATATATATATATATATATATATATATAAATATATATATATATATATATATATATATATATATATATACTCACACAACAGACATACGTCACGCATGGTTGACTAGACATACAAACGTACATCGTACAGTGTATGAGTGTAAAGAAATTGTAAATGCACAGTGTAGACACAAGAGAATACTGACACTCGGTAGTACTGTACTGTAAATAGTACTGTACTGTAAATAGTACTAATTGTACTACTTCTGTACTATTGTGGGGAAAATGATGACTAGCTATGCTATAGCAGAAATGTGACAGTATCAATATGGATGATAGAAATTTGACGATTTAATTTGACATTTATTTAATTGAACTATGAATTTATGGATTACTTTTTTGAATGTTGGCGATTGCGCTTAGTTAAGATTTATTCTTTTGGAATGCCCCGTTATGTGACAAATTTATTGTTTGTTCATAATAAACAAATAAATAAAGCAAAAGCATCAAATATTTCTAAATAATCCACAAAATAACAAATCCTCAAAAATCATCACTAAAACCAGGTTATAACATTGTAAACGTCCTCATCATTACTATCATTATAATCATTATCATCATATTTCTTTTCGTTTATTGGTTTATTATATTCTATATAGAATACTATATTGAAATTTGTATTTATATTATTTATTAATTTGTATTTACATCATCCTTGCTATTGGTTGTAGTTCTAATAAAAATGATGACATTGGTATCATTTCCATCTCATCAATGTTGTAGCCATTAATGCAGTGTCGTTATACATCATGTTTTTTCATAGGTGTCAAACAGCCAATCAAATTAATTGCCATCACGTTCCAATCATATTCATCACCTTCATCATCGCCATCTCGATTACCTTCATCATCATCATCTTCTTCATCATCGTCATTTCTACCATCAACTTTATCATCATCTCCACCATCACCTTGCTCATCATCATTATCTACATCATCTTCACTACCATCATTTTCATCGTCGTTAATTTTTGTTATTTTTGTTTGTTTTCTGGTATATTATTATCATTTTTTGTCATTATCATCGTCGTCATTCTTATCATCTTCTCCACCATCATCATCATCACTACTATTACCATCCTCATCAGTACTTGCATCACCACCATCACCATCATCATCAGTACTTCCATCACCGCCACCAACATGGTCGGCTACGAACCATTTAACTGCACGCTCATATGCATCCCTACAGACCTCACTGCATACGTAACTATCATGCCATCATAAATCAACCTCACCATCGCCAACATTCATGACATCAACAATAACCACCGTAACATCAACAATAATCACCATAACATCAATTATAACCACCGTAACATCAACAACAACAACAATACACTCGGTTGCATCCAACAACTTCTGCACGGTTTCAGAACGTTACTGTACTGAAGCATTCATAAAACGCACCTCGTTAACAGTTGTATCAAACAACTCTATGGAAATTTAGAAAATTTCACAGTTAAATTGTTTTGAAAAACAGAGATTTTTTCATTTAGAAGTTATTAGTTCTAGGCAACGCAAATCAATTTACACGCCCTTGCGTTTGTCTTCAACACCACATTTTTTCTCATCGATGTTTTACATCCAAACCAGGCCAAATGGTTGAATCTTTCTGAACAGTAAGCAATCGAACCCCATCTCCGCAAAATCTTCTTCAAATAAATTCAATGTTGGTTGGCACTCTTACCGCCTGAGCTAATTTGCCGATTACACATACTACATACTGCATGTGTGTTGTTAGTTCGTTGTTTATATAACATTTTGAAATCAATATTTCATTACATTTCGTTTTATCTAACAAACTGTTTCCCTCTATAAATGCATATACAACAATGGTTGTATATTATGTGCATCACAGCAGAAATGTACAATTAACATTTTTTTATATAATTATTTTTGAAAATAATTTTTCATATAATTTTTAAAATCAGCAACATTTTTTTCTTCTACCGATACAACTAACCAGCCATCCAACCAACTTTTCATCCTAGACTTATACCTACACAGCCATTGAGGAATAATCATTAATAATCTTTTCATCTCTATTATCCGCTACTTAGTATTTTTTACTGGCCTTAGGGAAAAATAATCATAAAAAAAAACATACATTAATACTAATGTTTACTACTTCAAGAATACCAATAAGACTACTGAAGATTTCTAATACAACTATACGCAATTAGTTAAGGCTTCTAACTACAAAATACACCAACAACAACTCAAAATATGTGTACAGGTATTATTGCAAAAATAATACATACATACATACATACATACATACATACATACATACATACATACATACATACATACATACATACATACATACATACATACATACATACATACATACATACATACATACATACATACATACATACATACATACATTCATACATACATACATACATACGAATACATACAGTACGTACGTGTATTGCATACGTATATCATAGCGCGTATGATTGCGTACAGTTGCGTATTACAGTAGAGGTATGCTACGTTACGGAGCGCTCAATCAATGCCACATCAGAAAACGCATCAACATCGGAAACGTCTTGTTTGAAAATTTTTATTTTGCATGGAAAAAGGGAAGAAAAAAAATCTATACAAGGAAAATAATAATAATAATAATAGTAAAAATAATAATAATAATAAAAACGATAATAGTAATAATAATAATGATAAAAATAACGATAATGTTATATCCATGGCATAAGAAAATGCTTCTACGTTGTTTATAGAGAAACGATCGACGCAATGTAAAAAAATAACAACAACAACAACGACGACGAGAATGCTAGAAAAAAATTATAACAATAATAAAAATAATAATGATAATAATGAATAAAATAGTAATAAAAATAATAATTAGAATAATAATAATAAGAAGAAGTAGTAACGAATTGACTATACAATGAATGATGCTAAAACAATAGCAGCAACAAAAGAGACAACAAACCAGTCCAAAAAACACAACACAACAACTTAAAACAATGGGAGCAAAAATGCATCGGAAGCCATAAAAATAAGAAAAATTTGAAATAACAATAATAATAATAAACAGCTATATTTGAAATAACAATAATAATAAACAGCAATTATAACAGTACTACTACCAATGATAATAATAATATGAAGAAGAAGTAGAAGAAGAAGAAACAAAACAGCAGCACCAACAAAAACAAATCTGAAATAAATCATAAAAACATAGCAGAACAGGAGAAACAACAAACAAAACAACAAACTAAACAACAAAAAGAAACAAGAACAATAAAAACAACAAGTGAACAACAACAAAACCAACAACAGCAACAAAAAACATCGTCCTCAACAAACAATATATAAAACTCGTTGTTCAATTAATCTTGCTTTTTCTATGGCTTTATATATCTATGTACATAAACACATATTAATTATTATACAAAATGTATACATAAACATGTTTCTATGAGAGCTTTTATATATTTATATATATATATATACAATATATATATATATATATATAAATAATTAGAATATATATATATACATGTATATGAATATATACACCAATTATATATACATTATATAATAAAATTACATTATATGTTTAATAACAATAAGAAAAAAGTATATATATATATATATACATATATATATATATATATATATATATATATATATATATATATATATATATATATATATATATAACAAAAGAAATTTTAATATATAATCGTTGAATTAAGAGTCACATAAAAATTTTAATGAACAACACAGAGTCGAA